CTGTGCAGCTTCTAACAATACCTGCCCATACCCATGAGCACTCGTATTGCCAGAAAAAAAAAAAAAATCAAGATGCTCATTTGTTTTTGCTCTGCAGGTCATGTTGGATATTTTCTCCTCTCCATCCTTTGCCCAAATCGCCTGTGGGCTCCCAGGCCTGGGTACCACCTGCCCCATCCCCATGCTGTGTCCTTCCTGGAAAGGGGAACAGCCAAAAAAAAAAAAAATCAAGATGCTCATTTGTTTTTGCTCTGCAGGTCATGTTGGATATTTTCTCCTCTCCATCCTTTGCCCAAATCGCCTGTGGGCTCCCAGGCCTGGGTACCACCTGCCCCATCCCCATGCTGTGTCCTTCCTGGAAAGGGGAACAGCCCCACACCTGATTTGCCTGAAAGGACCCCGTGGGGCACAAGGACTGCACTGGCGAGCAGTCCCACAGGCAAGCCCTCTTGTTTCTCCTTGGACTCATCCTCTGCAACTTGCCCTTCCCTTACAGAGTCCTCTGAGCCACGTGGGTGGGCATTAGTCTCATTTTTCCTCCATACCAGCCCCGCTGCACACATCGGCCTGCCGGATGCGGCGCTGCCGTGCTTGCATGTGGGGCAGGCACTGGCCAACACAGCGGCTGGACCCAGGCTGGGCAGAGACCTCACGGGGCAGAGCCAAGCGCTGGAGGTCTTGGGGCTGGGCACAGAGAGATTGGAAAAGGCTGGCAGAGCCCATAGCTAATTCCAGTCCTTGGAGGAGCCAGAGCCTGAAGAGTGCTGCTGTGGAGGAACACACCAGCCTTGGAAACTAGCCTGGGAATTAATGCTATCTGGCAGAGGGACAGATATAAAAAACAATTCGCCTGCCTTGGAAAGGGACAGCGTATACAAGCGAGATAGCCTGGCAGGCTGCCAATGCCTGCTTACCTCCCATATGCAGAGCACCCTGCTAGGAGCGTCTGTGCCTGCAGAGCACCCCCAGGGCTTGCCTCGCACAGGACCCTGGTGCTGCTGAGCAGCTGATACAGCACCGATACTGTCTGCATTATGGGATCTGCAGCCGCTCAGAGCCCTTTCCACTGTGTATTCTGAAGACCATGTGAGGGCACAGCCTGGAAGTCTCTGCTTCCCCATGGAAGGCGGAAGAGAAGACACTCTCAATGTGTGCCTGCTTTTGCCTCGAGAATATCTCCAAATATAGCCCGGCTCAACCTCCCTTCTCTAGTAAGCCCAGGCCAAGGAATGTAATTACTACTTGAGACTCGCTGGGCTGAGCCAATCCGTGACTGCTGGAGGCGGTGGGACCCTACTGTAATTGTCCTCTTGCACTCCTTCCCCAGCCACTTGGTAATACTTGCTGGGGGCAATAAAATCCTTGGAGCAGAGGAACCTGTTTGTGTGGTGGCTATTTGTGTGTTTTTGCAGTGCCGTCGGCCATGGGAAGTTGCATGGGGGTAAGTGAGTCAGAGCGTATTCAGATCCGCCCCAGTTTCACCAGTTGTGCAAAGCGGATAGACACATGTGCCCTCGCTTGGGGGACAGGGCACTGCTGTGGTAGGGATGGTGCTCAGAGAGGAAGGGGAAAGAAGCACTCATCAGGGCTTCTAGCGTTGTAGGGCCTAACACCATCCCAGGGACCAAAGAAACAGTCACCCAAGGCTTTTTTTTTTTTAAACACCTGCACTGTAGTACACAAACATCCACCCACAGGCCCTTCCACCCCCAACCAGAGGAAAGAGGACGAGACAAGTGAAATTTCAGCATGGAAAATATGGTGTAGATGTGACAAAACACACACCTCTCGTAACATGTAATATGTGCTCGTTGCAAAATGGAAAATGCTAGACTCCTAGGCAGAAGTGGTGATAAAAGGCTAATGCATTTGCCTCATATAGTCAAAGATAACCATTACATTTTTTTTTCATTAGCTATTATTAAATGAATATCCTCCTTATTATTATTGTTCAACACCCACGAATACACTAAGCATTTTATAGAAAACATCCAGAATGGCTGTCCTTGCTGCAAAGGAGTTAGTGAGTCTGGCAGACAAAGCCAAGCCCTAACATGTCCTACAGCGGGATGTCAGAAAGGATCAGGAGAAAGAAGAAATAGCTATTCTGGTTATTCAGGTCAGATTCCTGGGGTCGGTCCATTGCTTGCCAGGAGAAGATGCATATTCTTACATAGTATTATCCAGTACATGGAGAATAAATGACACTGTGAACTTCAAGGAGCAGCAGGTGAAGTTAAATGCTGTTTCTACGGCAGTCCGAACATTCACCGCTAATGCACGTGAAAGCAAAGTGTATTGCTGGCACCGGAGTCTACCCTGTGTTTGGTACCACATGTTTACTGACACAAGCTAAGAAAAGCCACCGCTGTTTTCACTAGTGGAGAGCAGTATTGTAAGCGACTGAGAACACATGCATTGGTGCTTAAAGCATCGCTGTGTTCGCTGCTGGCAGCCAAAGCTGCTGCGTGAGTCTTTAAGAGCCATAAGCAGCGTGATAGACCGTGGGACTGCTCTATGTGTAAGAGACGCCAGAGGAAGAGGTGATGAAGCAGGTTATCGAACTAGGCATTGCAGAAGAGCAGGGGAAGCAGCAGCGCTTTAGCCTCTGCTGCGCTGCCATGCAAAAGGACTTTCGACAGAGTCTTAAAAATAGGTGGTGAAATAATTGTGTCTGTATTCTGGTAACAGATAGCAAAAGCATGGGGGAACACACAGTTCGCAGCCAGGATGTAACACAAAATCTTCTGTTGCGAGCATGGCCTTATTTTAACTAACACCCACTGATCCGTCAGGCGTTACATCCATGATCTTAGTTAGAACTCCTTGCTAGCTGCTCATAAATCGCTGTGAAATGTCAAGCAAGGCTGATGAGAAAAGGGCTAGAGCAGCCTGGATAACAGACCTAGCCTCAGCAGAGAAAATTCCCTCTCCCAGAAGCTTTTCCACTTCCCTCTGAGGCTCACTGATCTATAAAGGGATGAGGCTTTTGTACAAGTGGGATAACCCAGGGGAGAAACACCCTGCAAAAACAACACAGCGAGACAATAGGGGATGATAGGACAATGCTCCTTGTTCAAGGCACCCTTCGTGGCACAGCTGCTGAGGTGACAGTGCAAACAGGGAGGTGCAGCCCCGGCTTGCACTGTGCACCGCATGCCAACCACATCCTCTGCTGCAGCTGCTCATCTCTTTCCTGCCCTGCTCCTCGCAGCGCTCATGCCGCGTACGCCGCGCGAACCTCCTGCCCTGCCCCTGGCACACTGCTGTGTGACTCAGCCTCACTTCCTT